CGGATCTGTCAATTTAAAAACCGGCGAGTAAACTAAATCGATTTGATCATTTAACAGGTTGCACCTGCAATGTTTATGCTTGTGAATTCACAAGAATTCTAAATAATTAAGTTTATAACCCTTCCTTGCATAGTACAGAATTTCCGTATCGTTTAGATTCGGAACTTGTGGTTGTATGCCAAGGAATGGTTTGAAAACGTCGAATAATTTTTTCCTAGTCTGAAGGACCTCCCATGCTCATGTTCAGCATTCAGTTTTTGGAAATTTCGGCCACATTATCCCACATAAACACTATTACATTCCGGACACTTGAGCTCATAAACTCCAGATTTCTCCAACTTGTCCACCTCATCTTTGGCATTGAAAAGGAAATGAGATACCTGGTTTGTGGTCTGGATACCACTTCCACATTGTTTTTTCTGAAGAAACCCGCAATTATCTCTGTTCTCTGTCCAAAATATGTTAGCGTTACCCATTTCTTGATTTCTGGTTGTTTGACCTGAGGGTATATTAATCTTTGAGTGAATTTCCGGCTTTGTTTCCTGACTAACTTCTGGATAGTATTGCGTTGAAACCATTATTATGACCTATCTGTGTGATTATATCAATTTCCCTAGCTAGATTGTTAGCAGACAAAGGCAGTGAGAATGATATGTGCAACATTGAATTGTAGGTTGCTAATTTATGACTGTCTGGATGGAAAGAATCGCTTGGGATGGTAATGTCTGTATAGCTAGGTTTTCTGAAAACATTTAACTCAAATCTATTCTGATTATGTGATAGCAACTAAATGTTGCTATTGAGATTATTCATGAATGTCATAGATTGGTTCAGCTGTCGTGTAGTACCTCTGAAACAGGCGGCCTTAGAAATATCGAGTGCCTTTCTAGTCCAGTTATTATAGTAAGTTCACCTCGGAATTCCAGATACCCAGCTGTCAGTCTGTAAATACTTGTATATTGACACCCTAAAAGTTGTCTCAAAACCTACATATGGTAGGGTGTAAGCAACTATTAAATTTCAAGGTCAAAGGTCACAAAAATCGGTTTTTTGCGCTTTTTTTGGAAATATCTCATTTCCTATGGGTTTTTTGCTATTTGTATT